TTTACCTTCCTTTGAGTCAAACCCCTCTGGAGCTTACACTCAGCACAGACATCACCAGCCTGAACAAACGTGTTGAAAGATGACCCCAAACACTGCTTCGACAGAGAAAAATCATAGTTCTGTGCTTAACAGCCTAACACCACACAGCCACCCCTTACTACCGTGAGTAACCCAAACCTCAGAGGGTTGTAACGTATTACACAAGGAGCTGAGCTGTCACAGTGTCACTTCCCAAGGCACTAAAGCAGCGTGAGTCACACGAGTGCACAGAGGGGAGCCCCATCAGTGCCACCACCGCTGAGCCAGACCTGTCACAACACGGGGAAATCACGCTCGGCTGCCTGGCTCCAGCACTGCCCTTCCTGTGCTCACAGCTCTGCCAGGGAGAGCTTCATCCCTCACAGCACAGCACCAGGGATCCTCCCCAGCCTGTGCCATCAAACCCTGACCCTTCAAATGCACCGAAAAACCCCACTGGCATTAATGGATTTTTGTCCATCGAACATCAGCTTAAACCGCATTCAGATGGATTGGACATTAAAGCAACCACAGCATTTAACAGCTCCCACAACAAATGATAAATGCAGCTCAATTAATTGCTCGCTGGACGTGTCAGAGTGGATTGACACCAAAATAAAAAAATAAAGGTTGCACCACTTACGTCCATCTCTGCTGACTGCTTGGGGCAAGATGCTTCACCAGACAGTGACAGGACTCAAGAGGCCAGCGCCATCCCAGCTCCTGCCCCACATTCCAGCAAACCATCCCTGCAGGAGCATGCCTCAGTTCCTCCCCCATCACCTCCACCACCAGTTCCCAGTGGTTTCACCATGGACCAACCACCCCCCAAATTCCTGTAGTGAGGGGAGAGAGGCTTGGGTCGTTTCAGGGGTTTTTAGATGAAACTGCAGCATACGTAGCACTGATAAACACCAGAAGAGCATTTCATGCCAACACCTAAATACAAAGTGCTTTTCAAGTATTTCTGGGGATTTTATGACTATTATGATCACTTAAAATACGCCTCTAGCCCCCAGAGGATGTGCACATTCGCCTTCAAAGAACCAATCTGGCTGTTGCAGAGATTTTGTTAAACCTCTTGTATGGATGTTGTATTTTCCCTAAGGCTATGCAACCAAGTATTTTATATTTCTTAAACCAGACCTCTTAAATACAACTCACAGGCTGCTCCTCCCCTCACAAACGAGTCTCTGGGATTTTGGCAGATTCCCCAAAAGTCTGCTAACTGCCCAAACCAAGTTATTTTTCCTTTTACTCAACATTTCTTACAAATGACACAGCACTTTGCTGCTGTCTCTGTTAACAGCAGAGCTTGTACCACCTCAGCCAAGAGATCAGGCCCTTCACACTCACGAGCTCCATGCTTTACTCTGTGTTCTACTTCTAAGTTGCTTTTTTTTCTCCCTTCTGGAAAAGAAAACACGCTGATTACACAGCCTTCCAAAAAGGCAAACAGCTGTTGCAGATCCCTGAACAAAGCAGCCTGTTAAAATTAAAGTCCTGGGTATTTTCCCATGGCAAGAAGGAGGCAGGGAAAGGGAAGAGTTGCAGCTTTGCTGGTTGAAAAGGCTTCTCTCTGCTTGTCTGCTCTGTAGAGTTTAAAGTGCAAAGGCAGTTGGTACAAACTCGGTCTCCCAGTATTCCCTCGGTGCTGACAGGCTGTTAGCAGCCAGGATATACCCTGCAAGAGGTCAAAGGTGTGGAAAAACAAACACGAGCAGCAATTTGGGAAGATGAAGAGGAGAGAACGATCTGTCACGGCATTTTTTGTGCCGCGGAACACCAGCCAGCTTCCTGCCCTCTTACTCGGTCACTGCTGGCAAGTTATGTCCTTTGTGAGGGGGAGGAGAAAAAAGGCCACTTATTTTAAATAACTGGCTTCTATTCTAAATAACTGGCTTCTATTCTAAATAACTGGCTTCTTGGACAAGGAGACTGATAAAGATGCTAATGCCCAATTCCTCTCACTCATAACTCAGGACAAAATGGCTGCATGGCTGGAAGTGTCCCTCCATGGATTTCAGCTCCTCAAGTCAGCCCACAAATCCTGTTTCACTTTTAAAAGCATTGCAGAGGCAAAACAAGCCCAACCCTCCAAGAGCAACTCCAACTCTTACAGCTCTGAAAAAGCAATTGTATTTAACCACATACATCCTTAATTGGAGGGAGGATGTGTCTGTAAGGGAAGATCCTGCAGATTGAATAGTATTTGTCCACACAGGGCAATTAAATTTACTTTCATACTTTGAAAGCCATTCATAGAATCCCAGAATGGTTTGGGTTGGAAGAGATCTTAAAGCCCATCCAGTTCCACCTCCTGGCAGGGACACCTTCCACTGTCCCAGCTGCTCCAGCCTGGCCTTGGGCACTGCCAGGGATGCAGGGGCAGCCCCAGCTGCTCTGGGCACCCTGTGCCAGGGCCTGCCCACCCTGCCAGGGAACAATTCCTCATTCCCAATATCCCATCCAGCCCTGCCCTCTGGCACTGGGAGCCATTCCCTGGGTCCTGTCCCCAGTCCCTCTCCAGCTCTCTTACACTCATTCAGAGTTCAGCCACTCTATAACCCAGAATCTTCTGTGTGGCATCACAACAGCTTCCACCACCGCAGACCCTCAAGTACCTACATGACCCTCATAATAATTCAGTTCCCACAGATTTTCTGCTGCTATTGACCCTACCAATCTCCAGCCACCTCTGCCAGAGCAGGAGAGCAAATCCAGCACCATCTAACTACAAAAAAAACCAAACCCAGAGGCTACTTTAGAATCATCTTGCTTGGAAAACCCCTCTAAAATCATCCAGTCCAACCATTCTCCCAGCACTGCCAAGGCCACCACTAACCAACATCCCCAAGTGCCACATCCACCTGCCTCTTGAACAGTCCTTGGTGGCTTGACAAAACCAAAGGTTGGGTGCCTTTACCTCAAGAGTCACTGAGATTCAGCACGAACAGGGGGGAAAAAACCCAACCCTTTTGTGCAGATTTTGTTATTTCCAGGTCCTCACCACCACCATGAGCTATCTTGGCCACTGGGCTCTTAAAGCTGACACAGAGCACTCAACACTTCCCAGAGCCAAGTACATTCCCAAAATCATTAGCAAGGATCTTTTCCTGTAATCACAGACCAATCTGGGTTGGAAGGGACCCTAAACCTTCTCTCATTCCAGCCTCCTGCCTTGGGCAGGGACGCCTTCCACTATCCCGGGCTGCTCCAAACCCCACCTGAGCGATCACAACCTGCAGCCACAAGTTGACTTGAATATTGTAAATAATATTAGAAGCATTGGCCACGGATGATCAATACGAAACAACCCCTCAAAGGAGTTGGGCATTACACCCCATGCCAGACCGCAGGGCTGCATTTACACAAGGAGCGATTAAAATCCCAGCTGGAAAACGTTCGTGCAAGGCTTTTCCTACACATTCCAGTGGGTACGGCAGAGGCTGCGGACTCGCTCTGCTGGAACCTGCGGCGCTTCCCGGAGTTCTGGGAGCTCCATTTGCACTTCGGGAGCGCCGAGGGGCAGCGACACCGACCAGGAAACCGACACGTGTGGGGCTTTGAATTCCCTGAGGAAATTAACACTGTGGGATGTGTGGATGTTTATCACACACCCCAGGGATTTCACAGCCACCCCTGTGCCCCCCTGATCACTTTTTGGGGTGTTTTATTCGTCTTGGGGGCTGGAGGGGAAGCATTTCACGCGCCACCGCCGTTCCTCCCGTGACATCCCTTCAGAACGACCTTAAAAGGACAAAATATCTGTGGCGGTGGGAATGGGGGGCGGGAACAGGAATGTGGGGATGGGAGCGGGAATGGGAAGCGGCGGGGCGGCAGGAGGAGCACACACGGCCCAGCCCGGCCCGGCCCGGCCCGGCGGGGTCCCGCCATGGCGGCCGCCCTGAGGGCGGGCAGTTGCCTGGAGACGGCGGGGCCCGCCATGGCGGCGGGAAAGGGCCGAGGCTGCGCGGGGAGCGGGGCCAGCCCCGCCACGGGCCCTCAGGGGACACTCCGGCAGGGTCCCCGTGCCCCATGTCCCGCCATCCCTGCCCGGGAACCATCCCTGTGCCCCGGGCACCGTCCGCTCCGTCCCCGCATCCCGGAGCCCACCCGGCGCACACGCTCCCCACTACCGGGATGGCTCCGGGGATCCGCCAGCGCTCCCGGTTATCATCCCGAGGAATTCCTCATAGGAGGAAGATGCCGGCCGCGGAGGGGAGGCAGGTTTGCCCATCGACGGGGAGGTTGCGCCCTGGCCCCGCACACGGAGCCCAGCGCGGCGAGCACCCGCTCATCACCTCTTCCCTGCTCCTTTTTTATCCCTTGAGGAGCGCTGAACCGAAGGCAGGGCGATGTACCGGCCAGGAGAAGGCACCGAGCGAGGGAGGGCTCCGCTTCCCTATTAAGGCGCTCTAATTTCCCTAATCTGCGGCAGGTGTGAAACCGGGGCAGCGCATCCCCCGGCGCGCCGGCACCTGAGGATCCCCGCAACTTTCCCAGTCCCCCGCACGCCCTCCGGCGCACCAGGACACCGCAACAAGCTCCTGCTTCTGCCGAACCCCCCTCCCCAAAACACCAGCCCCCGCCCGCAGAGCCGGGCACCGCATCCCGCCGGGCTCCAAGTTTCCCAGCTGGGATTGTCTCCCTGCGGGGTCCCGCGGCCAGCCCCGGGTTCCTCCCGCTCCCTCCCGCAGCGATAAAGCCTCCATGCCCAGGACACGATCCCGTGCCCCAGAGGGATGTGGCAGCCGGGACGGGCGCGTCCCGCTCTGCCGGCACCTCGGCGCTCACTCCTGCCGCTCTTCCCCCCCAGCGCTCGCAACTTTCCCACCCCGCGGGGCCACCCGGGGAGGATGCGGGATGCAGGAATGCCGCGCTCCGCTCCGGTCCCTGCCCGGCGGGCGGCGGCGAGGCCGGGGATGGAGCGGGATGGGGGAGAGAGGGGAGGCTGAGCGGCGGGGTGACCCCCTGCTTACTGCGGGCTCTTGGGGTAGAAGGGGAGGGTGACGTGGCTGAGATCCTGGATGTCGAAAGCGGTGGGCTCGGCCGAGATCGCCTGGCGCTTGGTCCGCTGCTCGCCCTGCAAGGTGCCGGCGCTTTGCTGCTGCGCCTGCTGCGTGGCGGGCCGGATCACCGAGCGGTACTTGTCCAGCTCGTTCTGCAGCTTCTGGATCAGTTCGTCCTTCTGGTCCAACTCCAGCTCCAGCTCGTCGATGAGCGCATCCCGCTGCCGCAGCTCCTCGATCTTCTCCTGCAGCGCGTACTGTAAATCCCGCAAAGTGCCCATGGTCCTGCCGCCGCGCTCGCCCCTCGCCGCTCCGGGCAACTTTCCCCCGCCGGGGCCGCCTCCCCTCGCTCGGGCCACCCCGGCCCCCGCCGCCCCCCTGGGCTCGGCCCGGCCCCGCGGGGCCGCCGCAGCCGGACCCCCGGCACGGCGCTCCGGAGCCGGGGTGTTGTCAGGGGCGATGTGGATCCGCCTGCGTCAGGCCGGGCTGCCGAGGGAGCCGAGACACACACACACACACACACCCGCGGCGGCGAGCGGGGAGGGAGGGGAGGCGGGCGGCGGGAGGGAGGCAGGGGCGGCGGGGAGGATGCACATGCTCGCCCCGCTCCCTCCCGCCGGCCCCGCCGCGCCCCGCGCCGCCCACGCCCCGCGGGCTGCCGAGCACGGAGGGAAGGGGCCGGGAGCAGCGAGCGGTGCCTGCCCTCCCGGCCTCGGGCTGCGCTCCGAGCCGCGCACACCTCCCGTGCTGCTCCCCTCCCTCCCTCCGCTCCGCTCAAGGTGCCGCTTCTCCTTAAAGAACTTATCCCCCCTTTACTTTGCTTTTAAAGAGCCGGGTTGTGTTGTTTTCTCACAAGCCAGCGTCTGGCATGGCTCCTCCTCAAGCTTCAGCAAGCTCCGGGCTCCAAAAACCCAGATTTTCACGGGAATATCGGTCAAGTCTGTCTGCGCTGAAAAAGCCTGGAGGCAGGGCATCTGGCTTTCAGAGCGCTGAGAAAAAAAAACCCTTAACTTAAAATCTGGGAGATTTTCTGCCTGGCCCACATACCCATGTGAAAGCCGAAGTTTCTGCCGTACCAAACCGATCAGATTCCCCGGAGTGCAGGGTTTTCCTTCATGCACTCAGGTTTTCTGTGTAGCCTTACCTCTGCCATACAGCTCACGGGGCTGCAGCACAGAAATAACAAAATCAAACAAATGAGCCACAATGGCCAAGTCCTTGGTGCCAAATGATTCTGGGTTCTTCCATTTGCCAGGTGCTGATGCTCACGCTGAGAGCACAGCTCCAGCCTTGGCTCTCTGGGGAACAAACAGGGGGCTCTGAGCTGTTTGGGGGGTTCCTGGTCAAATCATCCAGCCTGGAGGAGCCAGTGATGAAAGCCTCAGAGTGCAGGAACCTCACAAAAGCTTCTGCAGCACTGGGGCACTGGCACAGTTTCACGCTCAGAGGTTTCCAGCAGCTGTTTCTGTTCCCTCTTGGGGAGTTTGATTTGAGGAGGAAGAGGAGGATGCAGGCCTGAGTGTATTTTTTGTGTTTCTGTCTAGACCTCCCATGCCAGGCATGAGCTGGGAGTGCCAGACATCAGTCCCTGCTTATGGGGCTGAGCTCCTTTGGTCTTGCCCTTTTTTCCCCACCCTGTTACACACTGGCTCCAGCTTTCAACCTGCAGCTGGTCTTTATTTCATAAAGTTATAAAAGAGAACAGATGAGGAATTAGAACTGCTCCCTGCTCCACACTGTTGCTGGAAAGGGCCTGGCCTCTGCTCACAGACACGAGGCTTTGCAGGTTTTTTGTGCATTTGATCCTGCATTTTTTTGAGATGTACATGGAAAAGGGGGAGAAATTTGGGTTGTGCAAAACTCTTCAGTTTTCAGTCCCCTTGATACATTTGTGCCAGGCACAAAGCAAAGTCCCCCAGTTGTTTCCACAGGTTTAAGTCCAGACAGCATTTTTTACTATTTCCATCTCACATAACTCACTGGGAACAAAAGTACCAGATATCTGCTGAACATTTCCATTTTAAAGACAACAGGCATTAAACAGATGCATTCCTGCTGCCTACAAACTGGGAATCAGTGATAAATAAAATATTTTAACAGCGTTCAGCCAACACGCTGTAATTTTTATTGCTTTTCTCCCTGCAGAAGTGAAATCTGCAGGAGGGAGAGGTGATACAGTTACCTGAAGCCCACCAGGCTTCAAAAGAACCACAGCCCTGAAGAAAACTGCTGCATAATTTCTCAGTGACAAGCAGTAAAATAATATGTGAGAGGGGCAGAGCCTGGGACTGAGACAACAGTGCCCCAGAACAGAAAGGATCCACAGAAAAACATGAGAAATTATGGCACATAAAGCTGTCAAGGAATTTAGCTGAGTGTACCTAAAATGTATATTTATCTCCAGGTAGGAAGCAGATTTTCATTAGACCCTTGGGAGTCTCAATAGAGATTTTTATGGTCCAGTTTTAGATTTGGGACCATAACCAGCAGCTGTCAAGCCCCAAGGCCAGTGTTTAAAGATGAGGCCAAAGCAGCCCAAGGGCTTCAGAAGCCTAGAGCAGAGCTCTGCCATGGAGAGACAGTCTGTAATTGCCCATCCCTGGGTATTCCCTGCTCTCCCAAAGAGGCCAGAGCACAGAAACCTGCAGTGGGCAGCACAGATCCTGCTGTGGGATCGTAGGGTACCGCCCCACTCCAGTAAAAATAAATCCTATGGTCCCATCCCTTTTGATTTAAAGCTCGCAATCAAACAAATAAATAAATAAATGGATCTCAGGCTCAACAGAGCAGCTGCTTTGTCTGCTTGATCCAGGGAATGGAAAGAAACAGCTTTAGGGAGAAGAATGGCAGGAATGCACCAACTGGCTTGGTGTTGGGTGAAGCCGCTCACAGCTAAAGGAAACCTTCCCAAAGCCTTTCCCTGCTCCCTCCACTGCCAGAATGTGCCTGGATGTGGAGTGGGAAGCCCAAAAAAAAGAGCATCTACAGAGATGTGCCCCCCCAGAGCATGGCACACCAGGGCTGGCTGGTGGGAAGCACACAGAGCAGGGATGGCTCTCCTCTCTGCTGCACTCACAATATTTCCTCTCTGCACAGCTCTGGGGTTCTGATACCTTCTGCTTCTGAACCCTTCCAGGGATCATCTGTCACCAAATGCACCCACTCAGCTGCCATTTTTCAAGCTGAAGCTGGATTTGAGCACTGCCTATCCTGCAAACACCTCCCTGGATTCCCGAGACAGGGCTCAGGGAGCCGGCACGATCCCTGACAGGAAAATGTCACCTTGCTCCAGCCAGCCAGGACAGCAGGGACAGAGAGGCTGGACATGCACCACTGACCACATACATAAACAACTTCCTCCTCCTGGATGTGGTGTTTGTGCCCTGCCTAATCCACTCCACTCTTTACCCAAAAGATCTGCAGGAGCAGATCAGCCCATGGCAGAAAGTTGAACCAGCTGGATTTTGTGCTGGATTATCCTGCTGGTGCAGCTTTGGGAAGCTCTGTGACCTGCAGGGCTCTGCCCTCCACTGGCACACAACCAAATCCCTGCCCTACCTGCACAGTCACAGCAACACCTTCATGATGAGAAGGAGCTACAAAAATAGAGGAAAATTTCAAGGGAGGCAGCACAGCAGCTGAACCCTTGCAAAAAGCACCTCGAGGTGTGGTCACACCTGAGACTCCCCACATCTCATCCATGGGATGCCTCCTGCTATTCCACCACGTCCCCAAAATCCATGGCAGTCCCCAAGGCAGGGCAAGGAGTGCCACCTACTGAAACACAGGCACACCTGACTCCTCCCTAAGGCACATCTGGCCATTCCTTCTGCCCCAAAGCACCTCTGGCAGCTCCTTCTGGGGCCACAGGGCCCTACAGATTTATAGGGGGCACCTGGGAACTAATTCAGCCCCCAGGGATGGGGATGAAGCTGAAATTACTCTGGCAGAGCAGCCTTGCCAAGACCAAGGAGCAGGAACTGAACATCTGGGGAGTGCTTCAGCCTCTTTTCCCTAGGAAAACAAAACCTATTTTCTCATGACACTGGATGCTCCTCCTTCCTATTTTGGTCCTTTCCAGAGCCTGTAAAACAAAACTGAAAGCCATTTGCTCCTGCCCACAAAGGGATGGAGATGTCCAGCTCTGAACACTGTCATTCAAACCCCACTGATTCCTCCATGCTGGAAGTCAGATCAACACCTGAACTGGATTATCCTGGTGACTTTCCTTTAGGGCATCAGTTCTTCCCATGCTCAGTAAGAAACATGGAGAAGTGTGAAGAGCATGCAGCCATTCCAGGAAATCCTCTCAGGATGAATCTGGGGGAGAGTGCATGAGAAGGAAAAGAAAAATACCACAAGGCTTATTAATGGAACAAAAAATTGCTCGCTGCAGAAGAAGTCGAAGGAAAAAATAACAATGTGCTGTTCTGCAGTTGTAATGCATTTAGCTTTTTATATCACATTAGGGACACACAGAACACCAAAATGAATGTTTGTGCCATGCAAAACCCAAGGAGGAGATACTGGGAGCATGGAATAGCAGAGGATTCTCCAGGAACACAGTGGTTTCAGGCACATGTCTCATCACATTGAAGATTTAAATTCTCCTTGGTGGGCTCTTGGCCTGGAAGGAGGAGATGGATGGCACAAAGCACCTCCTGTCAGTGCAAGGTGAGAGATCTCCCTCCCCTTGTTGTTTTTGCAGGCTGGAGCAAAGCCTGGGCTGTGCTTCCTGCTGGGTGGGCTGCAGAGCTGAAACAACACCAGTATCACTCATCTCATTACCAGCTCTAGAGAAAAATGTCACCAGAAAATAATTCTCTGTAGCCACGAGTTCAATAAGCCCTTCAAAGCTTCTTCCTTCCATCAGAGCAACCAAAACCATCCCTCTGAGTTCTTCTCCCCACTGACAACACCCTATTGCCACCATCTCTGGCCACACATCTACAGAAACCTCTGCCCTCTAAAAAGCAGGAAGATTTTCTCCCATGACCACACAGAAAATTGGATTTTCAGCGGTTCACCCCTCCAGCTGGGTGCACATGGTGGCTGTGTGTCCCCACAGCCCTGCAGGGTTAAGGGAATGCTGTGGGATTCCTGGGAGCATTTCTCACATCCTCAGCCTGAATGACTTCCTTGGGGCCAGGCTTTCTCCAGGAAGGACCACACACATGATCCCAATCCCTCCTGAAGGAACCAGTGCCACAATCCTGATCCCTCCTCTCCAGACACACCTCAAGTGTTCATTTTTCCCAGTTCCCAGGAAAGGCTGGGCTGC